GCAAACCTGTACGTCGTATTAAAACCAATGGCCTCAGTTGGATGGAATCATCAGTCATCTTCTGGTGACATCAACCTACTAATTTATTCTTCATGCAGTTTCCTATGCAATCAAGGTCTTCCTAACCATGTTACCTCACAAGATTAATCGAAATGTAGTATCTATAAGTGAACCTAGCCAAGGAAACTAATACTGGTCAAAGGTATAAAGACCAAGATGGTGTGGCCTTTTGTGTGGTAGCAGTCTCCTTTTGTTGTATAGAGGTTGTTTGACTTTGTTTTCGCAACTTGGTCATATTGGTAGGAAGATTTAGGGGAACGTACCTAGTCCGGAGTCCATTGTATGCATAATCATTTACATAGTAGGACCATGGACATGGTACATTCCCAGACGTTTCGCCGGCATCGTAGTCGAAATCGTCAGTGAATATCGCCATTTGTAGCACCATATTACAACTCGTCAAAGAGTTGTTATGTACACGTTTGGTCAAATGATGGGCTTTACTTGTCTCTTTGACGAGTTGTAATATGGTGCTACTGACGATGCCGACTACGATAGGGGCGAAACATCTGAGAATGTACCACGTTTACGGTCCTACTCTGGAAATGATTATGCATACAATGGACTCCGAACCTAACCAAGGCAAGCAGTACCACAACATTTGTGGATTGGCATACAAGAGACTAGGGCATGGCAGGTCATAGACTTGGTATTAGAGATAGAGACAGGATGGACGCGGTGGCGATTGGAGCTAGTTGGCTGACAGCAGGTTTTACAAGAGACATGGTCCATGTAGCAAAGACTTTAGCCTCGAATTAGTGACCCAGACCCAGGGAAGGGTAAATACCGCCTCGAGTAGCACAGATGGGGGGGGGGCAGGGGTCGAGTGAAATACGTGTACCAGGGAGATAGCAGATGGATTCTACGGGGCAAGAGGGAGACTCTGAAAGGACCTAGGGAAGGAGGACTATGTAACAATATGGCAGAATCTGGTCGACATTCCCAGGACAAGTGTGGAGGGGGTGAGAACGACAGCGTGGAGTGTGAAGAATTTTCATGAATGCCGCTCGAAGGAGCACACCACACTACATCGAAATAAGCACGATAAAATGTGTAGCAGTGAAGGCGTGATAGTAGGATATAGGAAATGTGAATAGCCCAGGGCAGAAGGGGAGATACTACAACTGTTTAGCACACGTTTGCTCAAAGGATCAGTTTCACTTGTCTCTTTGACGAGCTGTACTATGGTGCTACGAATGGCTAGACTCTCTGACGATGTCGACTATAATTCTGACGAAACGTCCACAATTCTACTCTGGCAATGATCATACATACAATGGACTCCGAACTATGTGCGTTCCTCTAAGTCTTCCTACCAATATGACCAAGTTGCAAAAACATGGTCAAACAACTAACGACTATGTTGCTTATATTCATGAGTATGTTTGGATACTATTAATCTATCTTGAATAATAGTCACCATAAGTCTGCCTTCTAACACATGCATTTATGGCACTATCTACGCTACATTATCTGGGTTTAATTCACATTTGGAGTAATAGTGAAACCGAGGCGGGATCGAAACTACGGTGAAACTTGGATGAGAAGACCTCTTGAAGGGCAAGGCTGGGTGAAGTGCAAGGACAGTAAAGGCCTACTCGTAAGATTGTGGAAAAATCCAGCTATCAGCTCTTCATCACCCTATATTGCCTGAGGTTACCAGAGCTTATATTTAATATTATTAGTATATAATACAATAAAGATAAAATAGTATATCATTGAAGTATATCCTATTATAAATTAGTATAGTTGCTACCTATTATTTGGTCCAAAAATGAAGAATGCTGAGGCGTCCGGAATGGGACGAATCTTGTTCTGCCCTGGATTCTCCGAACTTCGTCGATGCCCGATGCTATTCATGGTTTGTGAAGCCGTGTCAGCATCGCCAACATCTTCTCCTATTTCACTGTGTAGCTCATCTGAGGTAAATCCTATCAGAATAAATAGTTTTAAATGGCGAATACATATAGCTGAAATAGTTGATACAGAGCCCAAGGCTTGAGCATTGAGCTTGAATCCAGTAAAAAGGCTATTCTCCGTTTTTGGCTCCACGTGCATAAGGCCAGGTGTAATAGAAAAATATTTGAATCAAACCTAGAGGATAAATATTCACAAGTAATGTTAATTTAGATTGTAGATATGAAGACCAAGATGGTGTAGCCTTTTATTTATTCGCTTTAGCTGTAAAGTGTTGGCATCATATCTCTTTTGCAACTTGGTCAAGACAACAGGAAGACCTACAACTTACTTTATCCAGCGTCCTCTGCCATGGTATTCATGATGATTTCTAGCATCGGACAATTTACTTGTAACATTCCCATCATCATTCGTGAAAGGCGCTATCCTCAGCACAGAGCTACAATTTATCAAAGTGACAAATGAAAGCAATTCCTTTGACCAATTCTCTGTTCAACCGTAATGAGTCATGGCCTCCGACTTTCATTTGATTCATGGCTTAGAAGCTCTGCGAACAGCATCTGAAATATGTGGTGAAGGTGATTGCGCTATAATAAACCGAGTTCTAGCGACACATGCTTAGGCGACATTGAAGGAAGCGTGAATAAAGAATGGTGTAAATAGGTAATTGGCCGTATAAATTGAGTGATGTCATAAAGAATGAACAGAAAATTGATCAAGGGGACTGCTTTTACTTGTCACTTTGATAAGTCGTGATTCCGTACCAATGATGGCTCTACTCACCGACGATGGCGGTGAAAGTCTGGAAATGTACCAAGTCAACGGTCAGATGCTATAAATCATGAATGCTATAACAGAGGGAGCGGGACTAGATACGTCCCGCAAGGTCTCCCTGTCCCTCCTACAAAGTGGCTAAAACGAGGTCAAACCACACATGACTCATAATCGTAAAGGTGTCTAGTGGCTAATCTTATGCACAGAAGGAATAGTGATTAAAAAATTCACCATAGTTTTGTAACTGTGTTTAAAAAGGAGATAATGATAAAGGGTATATAAATCTCTGCTTAAATTCTCTTCTGTTATGAAAAAGAAAACATCGAAAAATGAAAAAAAATTATTCTTTTCCAGTTTAATTGCAAAAATAATAGAACTATCCCCCTTGATAAATAATAACTTATTTATTGTTATCCTCTAGGCCTGATTAAAGATAACGTAAGATTAATAGGAAATGCTTTATCGTTGAGGAATATTTGAAGAAAAGAAGAAAAATAGAGACATGTTGCCAAATCCTGATTTAACTACTGCGCTCTCTCTCTAATGATAGGCAAAATAATAAGGAAGGGAGGAATAAAGAACGGCTTTTAGGGATACTATGGCATTTTTAGAGGAAGTTGTCCCAGTATCGACATAAAAGCTGTTGCCCGATTCGAACAAAGGCTGTGAAATACGAAAGTGCCGGTAGGGTCAATTGGGTTGAAAAGAATTATGGAGAATAGAATGCACGACAGGAAGAGGACATAAGGTTTAAAGTATGAAGTAAAACTGGGATTGAAAGAATTTCATAATTAAATATTGTTGCATGACTCTCCATTTTGAGGGTGAAATTGGTTGGAAGGAATTCGTGATGTGGTCTAACCGAAAACCGAAGATGGATTGCCGCGTAAGGAAGTG